GCCTCTACCACGAGCTTACTGTGACAGTTGTCGCTAGTGACCGCATAAATCACTACACAATTTTGTATGGCAAATTATACAGCGCCTCTAGCGGTCACAAGAAGAAACAACATTTTGCGTACAAATATTTTACGGGGTCGCTAGTCTGTCATTGTAATCTCATGGTAGAGGCATTGATAAAAAAGCATGGTTTTTATTTGCAATAAATCCAACAAAATACATTGCGTTTAATTAAAAAAACGAATTGTTGGACAAAAAAAATATGTTAACCGGTTGCCTTTACAAGTTAGTCGACAAAAAAACTTGTAAATTAAATAGTAAATTTAGATTGAAGTCTCTGTACAATGTTATAATCTGAATTTTAATGAAAACAGTACAATCCACAACTCAATAACAACTTTGGACAGTCTTTGTAATGCCCAATTGTCGCCAGTGGGAACAAAGTCAGTGGTGACAATTGGGAATAAGCCAAAATTAAAAGTTTAAGTGCAAATAAAGCTTTGCCAGTTGTGCAGGATGTCCCATGGCTATGAGATATGGCGGGAAAGTCCGTTAAATATTGTAGATAGGATATTTGCTTCATGGAGACATTTATTTAAGTTAGTAATACTGCATTTAAAGACTTTTTAAAAGTTATTTTGTCTCATCCAAGAATCGAACCGAACAAACGTAAAAAAAATCCTGCACTTTAATGATACCGATTAGACCGAAAGAATCAATTATAAGTATTCATTCCTTTTAAATAACATAGTATCTTAAATTAAGGTAAGAACATGAAATTTTACAGGTTATAGCATTCAGGGAATAGGTCGGTGCTAAAAGAATGCTATTCCATAGCCGTTCCCCACATACATATGTAACATCCACAGCTTGGGGGTGGAACGTGTAGTCCCCCGATCATAGAAAGGGGAAGGCGGAATTAAATCGTGCAATTCCAGCGCACACTCTCCGTGATATAATCCTGCAGAATATCGATGCAGGCAACGTAACGGCGGTATTCTATGATCTTCACCTTCGCCTCTTCTAAATCCGAGTCACCTATAATCCTCTTGTCATACTTTTCAACAGAATCCAAGGTGGTCAGTTGATAGTTTGCAGAACCATCCCGTAGGCGGTAGCAGTATTTCATACACGACCTGACTTATTTTTATAATATCAAGTGGCGGGGCGAACAAATCGTGTGTTTGGTGGTAAGCTACACACCTGTACATAACACTTGCGGTGCCACTCTGGGCTTTAAATCGCAAAGATCTGAGGGGCGCCGCCACTGCGCCTGTCACCATGAGACATAAGTTGACAAGTCCCATGTGCCTGTAATTTCACCAGCATCCTTACCCTTCAAAACCGGAACGCAGTAGCTAACATTACTGCTTGGCGGCAGAAATAAATAAGGTAGTATGTACTTCCCTGGATGAACACTTTCACAAGGTGCTCGACTGCTACTAAGAGCTATTAGGGTGGCCATACAGAAACTGCTCGAGCAGTTAGCCAGTGATGAACATACACTGACCGCTCCTTAAATCATAGTCAACAGCTTGAGGCTGCCATTGATAACTGCTGGAGTAGTTGATATCAACAAAAGAAACACAGTTGGTATCGACTGCTCTACAAGTCACAATTTCAATTTCATTCAAATCAGTAGCAACATGGATTTTGAGGAAGAAGCACTACTACTGCTACTTTTGCTCAGATGACGACGGCGGCAGTGTAGAAATAGAAAATTGTGCGTTCATCCCATATTGGAATTACGAAATGACCATGGAGAATTTAATAACTTGTTTTCGGAAATAAGACTTAGCGCGTCACAATCTACGTCGTAAAATTTGCTCAATAAACAAAACAAGAAGCGAGCGGGCGGGAGGCACGCGTGACGTGGAACGAAGAGCTCGGGCGGGGTAACTCGCGAGGTAGCGTGAGAGTAGTCGACAGCTCGAGCAGTTAGTGTATACCTGGCGACTGCTTGACCGCACGATGAAATTTCACCGCGCCGCAAACTGCCCGAAGCAGTCGCAACTGCTTGAGCTCGTGTACATAGACGACTATAGTTTGCTATACGATCGCAACTTAAAGCAGTCGATACCGGTGAATGACCGGCCAGCTGAAGCACCTGTCTTGGTGTGAAGTAACGACTCACCTTTGATAAGGATGCCAAGCTTCCTGGTTGTATTTTCGGCCATTGATTCTATTTATCAGCCGAAGTCCAAATTGGACGACAGATCTATTACAAGTTTATACATAGGGCGCACTATAAGTTTCCGGAACTGGCCACTTACATAAACAATATTTTAAAAGTAATCACAACATTTCAAAATGGAACTCTTTGGTTGTTGAATACAGTTAGTTTCATCTGACTGTCACTTGTTTTTACATTGTGGCGTCATTTTAGAAATTGGTTGTCTACATCACCATGGATTTAACTTGTGAAAATTTTCGTAGTATGATTTTCTACAACTTTAAGTGTAATTTAACAGCTCAGCGGAGCTTCGCTCGGCTTCAAACTGCTTTTGGCGATAAAGCACCATGCAAGACGACTATTTATAGCTGGTTTGCAGAATTCAAACGCGGTCATGTGAATTCTAGTGACGAATTTCGTGATGGTCGCCCATCCACTGCTGTGAACAACAAAAACATCGATACTGTGCGCCATATGATCAAAACAGACAGGCATGTGACATACCATGAGATTCGGGCATCTTTAGGCATAGGCATGGGTCAAATACAATCAATACTACACAAACATTTGGGTGTGAAAAATCTGTGCTCTCGGTGATCCCACACAATTTGACTGAGGCTCATAAAACGGATCGCATCACTTGGTGCAATGCCATGCTTACCAGATTCAATATACCACAGTAGTAACAGCGGATGTATGCTTCTTTTTTAACAAAACTGGACGTGTGGCTACTGTTGCTTTAGAGAATCGTTGTACCTTGAATAGTGATTGGTACATGACCATTTGCTTGCCGGAAGTTATTGACAAACTCCGTAAAAATAACCGTAAACGCCGTATCATCTTGCACCACGATAATACCAGTTCTCACACGGCCAGACAGACAAATGTATTTTTGAAGATAAACAACGTTGACCTTATGAGCCAGACTTGTGATTTTTATTTATTTCCAAAAATTAAGTACCAGTTGCGTAACTGGTACAACGATTTTCATCACCTGAAGAGGCTGTCAATGAGTATGAAAAATATGTTTCAGAGATTGTCACGAAGGAGTGGCACAAATGTTTTCAAAATTGGTTCATTCGTATGAGAAAGTGCATTACCGCTAACGGATAATATTTTGATAAACAATAAATTAATTTCTGACCATTTGTAGTATTTTGTTGTAATTCATTCCGGAAACTTATAGTGCGCCCCACGTAGAGACGATCGGCAATCGGCATGAATATACCACGAAAAGTCGGAGTCAGGTCAATATGTATCCTTATCTATATATTATATTATAATATATTATATTTAAAGTACTTTTCTTTTAAAGTCCCATTGCAGTGAGACGTAAATTTACTGTATTTTGTTACATTTTATTCGGTACCTGATTGTTTTTTTCGAGCAAATTAATGAAATTAAACTTTCAATATGTGTTGGAGGACAGGAGTTGGAGCATTCTTACCATAAAACACGTGAGAAACATTTGTTTGACTTTTATATAAAGAGACAAATCCATTCTCCAATCTCGTTATAGACATTATTGGACACTTCTATGTCATCTGGAAGTTTGTTACTCTTCACCGTTAGCGAGAGGTATCTATTAATGCATTCACAAATTTACACAACTCAGACAATTAATTCATTGGTACAGCAGCCTCAGGGATTCGAATCATCGACGCCATTAAATAACATAAAATAATATGTACCAAATGTTTAAAGTTTCTATGGACAGGCAAGGTCGAATTACGTAAGAATAATTATTATATTTAAAGAATGATTGAAGTTTGAAATTAGCTGCTCAATAATATTTGTACATTAGTTAGCGTTACTTCACGTTACGCTGTCCACCGGATACTTGATTTCTTCGATCACATTGCCAGGACAGAAGTGCACAACCTCGAACAACTAATGGTCACCGGAAGGATCGACGGTAAACTTCCAAGGGGTCGCTATCCCACAACATAGTCCAACAGGATATAGGCTCTCGGCATGGGCCAAAGACCGCCACAGATGGCAAAGCGTGCTTGATAGTTGTTTCCGCGGGGTAGTCACGACCCTCAGTAATGAGATATACGACGCTAGGACGAGGAGACAGCGTCTTTACAAAGTCATCAATACAATTAAGATGCAACGTATACGCTGCTCTAATAGGCTTTATATTCCAAACTTGCCATTTACGAGGTTTAATATTATAATAGTAAAATAAAAACTTAATATTAAAAGTTATACAGCTTAAAATTACGAAAAATCTTGGTAGTTTGCTCGTTTAGCTCTTGTTAGTTGTTTCGAATTATAATATACATTTCAAATAAATATTGTTAATGATAAATGTGTAGAAATATGTTATACGAAGAGGCAACCCTTAGAGTTTCTTACTCTCTTTCTCAGTGACGCCTTTCGAATGAACAGTAGATTTTAGGTAATCTTTGTGACGTTTTCGTGTAATTTGTTTACCAATGAAATAAAGATATTTGAGTTCAGCACTTCTATAGCTGTCTTAATATTTCTATAAATATATCATATAAAGGGTTATAAAAAAAAAGAAAATTTCCGTCAATTCATAAATTGGTTTTATTTCTTACACTCCACTCAAGCAAGTATAAAAAGTAAAAAGCTAAAGTTACAGAGGCGCAATTCACAGTTATTCTTTTTAATGTTATATAAAAATAGAGAATTAAAGAATAATAATCTAGAATATAACGCCTCAAGAATACAAAAACTTTAGAATAGCACAAGAAGGAAAATTGCAATATCTCTGATATCTATAATCATTTCTTTTTTGAGATTGTAATAATAAGATTCTATAGCATTCAGACTACAAGTATTATCTATAAAAGGATATTAACAAAACCTAGCAGTGGCAAAATCAATCTAGTAATTTACCAAGTTTAATTATACTAAATTCTTAAATTAATGACCTTTATACTAGAGGCAGTGAAAAGTTGTACAGCTAATGCAAATTAAAAATAAAATTCCCAGTCAATTTCATCGATAACATTGATAGATATTTTCAAACAGCTTGTATGTAAAAGTTTTCTTATTTCTTCGTTATATAAAAATACATAGATATGTATACAAAAACAAAAAAATACAAATACATTCACGAAACTAAACTTTTATTCCATTTTGATATTACCATATGGCTTTGGTTAAATATGTGGGTTGCTTAGTTTGGTTCTGGTTAGGGGGTTCGGAGAAATGACCTCGGGATTTGATTTTTTATTTTGGTGCTTATAGTACGGGCATTTCCTAGTTTAAGATCAATTAAGGTTGTCCGTCGTATTATTACCCTATTTATTTCATATTTTGTTCATATATCTATCAACCTATCAATCTTACACCCAAAGATGCATTCTTTGGTTACATTGAATGAAATTGACTTAATCATTATTTTAAATTCAGCATCATGTTAACAAAATAATATTTGCCACGTTAAATAAATAAATAGAAGCAGATAAGAAAGCTAGTTCAAGCACGTGCGTAAATGGCACATGTAGTTAAGTATCACTTAAGTAAGAAGATTCTTAGACTAAGCTTAATTATAATTTTAGCTCCAATAAGGTTTTAGTGTTATATTAATAAAGTTGTCTTTTCGAATGGTTGTACCATTTTTTTTAATAGGCTTTTGAATTTAAATATTGGACTCCAATTTAATTTTGATATCAACTCCTACAACGTGATTTTTTACACCTACTGATACAATGTTAAAAGACGAAGTGTTATTTTACATCAGCTGATACGATATCATAGTTTTATATAGCATGATATCAAAATTAAATGATTTTAGTCGTAAAGGAGTGCATATGGTTCCTCTTTATAATAAGAAGGGACTTTATAAAACAATTCGATTTCCTTGAAATAATTAAAGTTATTGAAAAGAAAGACGAAAGTTTATGAAATTAATAAGAAATATACATTGATTATTTACATGATTAAAACAATAAATTTTAAATAGTACTAACATCACATTCTTTGCCTAAATCCTACTTCGGATGATATTAGTGACATACAAATGGAGCAATATAGAGATTTATGTATTTGTTATTATTCCTAAAGATGTCAACAAAGTTTTTTTATAGACTCATAAAAAATCCTTGAGATATAATAATACATATGAATTTTCATATGCATTTGAACCCTATACATTTTTGAGCAGTGCATATCTTGAACAAATTGTGGAAGATAACCCTCGTATATTACAAATTTTTAGTATAAAGGAAAAACTTATAAAAAAAGATTTCTTGTAAAGGTGATACATTTTAGTTACTGACGCTATCCTACATACGACATTGGGGTCACCCAAGGCGTGCTATTGAGGCTTTGATTCTTTATATTGCATGTTCAAAAAATTTGTAGACTTATGCTGTATGAATTAATGGTTTAAAGCACACTCAACGCAATTCTGATCCATAACTGTTTCATATGTTATTGTAATTTTGTCCATTTGAATATCCTAATTACATATTTCTAGACAGAACAAAGTTACTAGTCATTTTATACATTTGAATTATATAACCATACCAGATCTAACGACTCGGTAAAAACTACATCCCGTGGAGAAATTGTTTCCCACCTCTTTGTCTAAGGAACATATAAGGAATCAGAAAGAGGCAAGTTTTAAAGTATTTAAATGTTGACTTGTATGTGATTATCTAGAGTTTAATTCATGGTAGAAATTAATTTTCAATTCAATTTTTCAATTTGCTTTATTAAATTTTGTTGCTGAATTTTTAAGGCTTCTTTAGAATTTACTTTGTTAATAATATGTACTAAATACATAAAATTATTGATACGACACTATAAACACCTTTTCGGTTTTTGCAATGCAAATTAATATTTGACTAGTACAATAAGGTTCTAGATCAACGGGCATCATCTATGAAAAACGCAAGCGGATTGAATTTAAAGAAAATCTAATATAGCAAATTGAAAAATAATCAAGTCATTTGAAATCCTAAATAAAAGTATTAATTTTTTTACACAATATTCTACCTAAAATCAGCTATATACATTGAGCACTCGCAACACATAGTGCGTACTTATGACACTTTCGCAAAAGTTTCAGTCCATGGCTTTATACAGAATGCCCTAACCGGAGCCCGTCGCATAAGCATCTGTCGCTACGCGCTGCCCCGCTCGAAACACGTTCTGAACAGTTTTAGCAGCACCCTGTGAATAAAATAAAACAAGTTCACATTATGGTCACTAGATGGCAGATGTTGCACCTTGAATCGATTTTGTAATAAAATCAAATTGTTTCAATTTCACAAATAAACATACGACAGAAGCATATTCATTATTGATGTAGTAATTAATATAACATGAAAGAATATAGTTATGTTAAACATTAGTTAATATTGAATTAAATGACCGAATATTTTGATTAAAAATTAATGTTATACAAAGTTAGAGTATGATTGAAATTAGTTAATCATTACTACGACTTACAAAACGTTGTCCAATCACAAAATCTGAAATTTTTACAAAATTTTTATACGATTTACGTAATTACAAATTGAAGTCAGGTAACTTCTAAAGAGCTCAGGTAACTTTTGTCTCAAGCAAAAATTTTACATTAGTTTTTAAACGAAACTTAAACAGTACGTCAAAACGGACAACATTTATTTTACAGCACCAAGTACAAAACTTGGGTTCCCTAGGGTACTGTCTGAATTTGAGTGTACGGAAAAATACCGCGAATTTTAAAAATTTTGACATATCATCACGTCTGTCTCCCACCGAGACCACAAGGGCTATGAACCCCCTACTGCTACGCTCCCGACAAACCTCCTTCGCCTACTCCACTCTCAACAGTTTCTTCATACATGCCCGTTTATTCTTCGTACTTTTAACCCTGTTTTAAGGACATCCCCAATCTGATTGAGATATGTAAACCCAGGTCTAACTTTCCCCAAGCCTCCATCCACATTAGCTCTATTTGGTGCTGTCAATCTACCAACATTCATTATTTCATTCATGAACAAACCATGGAAGCACCCTTCTCTCTATCCTGGTCACTAAGCCATCTTTCATACCACAACAAGCGACCATGTAAAATCAGTTAGGTCTCACCTGTATGGCAGCTCCCAGGAACTGCGAAAATGCCCTCGTGACATTAATAGCAGCTGACACCAGCTGCCCTCGACCAGGTGCCTGCTCTGATATTACTGCTCTTGGGGGCTCCAGAGGTATCTATGTTATATGATGTTTATTATTTCATAGTATGTAGAAGCTGAACTCGCGTTTGAACTTAACTTGATTAAAAAATGATTGTACCATTCGTGTAAAGCTTCAGGCCAATTATCTGAACCAAACCGCATTCATTTGTGGTAGACCATAATTAATAACGTACACACTCAATAACGTACACACGCAACATAGCCCCGCACTAGGGAAACCCTGTGTCGCGGATGCCATGGACACACACATAGACAACCACATATTACACCCAAATTCACGAGAGAAATAAATGTAGGCCATACAAATATTTCTCCCAGCCCGGGAATCGAACCTGGGACCTCTGCGTCCGGCATGGTAACCGTTCGGCCACGGAGGCAGTTAATAATAATTACTGTTTATATACTTAAAAAATCATATACAAAAAGTGCTATGTTTCGTTATATTATAAAAATATTTCTTTATACCGTGCTTGAACCATGTCTGCAGTGAATGTATAATTTGCTTAAAAATTTGGGTATTAAGAAAATATAAGACACTGTATATATTAATATAATACAAGGTCATTTGTAAAATACTAACATACTTGCAGGACTATATTACTAACATTATTAACAACACTTTTTGCTCCGTGACTTTTAACAATTCATCACATATTACTTTCGTAAAAAAAATTCAATAGATTGAATTCTATTGATATATTGATATAGATTGATTCTAAACGCTGATAACTCTGTGTGATACTATGTGACCCTACATGAAAAGGGACGGGGCTCATCGGGGAAGACGCTTTGCACATTTGTAGAGCTCCTTGTGAAAGAGTTCATCCAGGATAGTACTGCCACCTTACCTATTTCTGCCACCAAGCAGTAGTGTCAGCATTACTGTGTTCCGGTTTTGAGGGGTAAGGGTGATGGTGAAATTACAGGCACATGGGACTTGTCAACTTGTGACTCAGGGTGACGGGCGCAGTGGCAGTGCACTGCAATCGTTATGAATAGGCGTGTAAATTACGATCAGGTGCACGACTTGTTCGTCCCGTCACTTGATAATATCAAAAAAAATCGATACAAAAAGTCGTCGTAACCACTTGAATCGATCTTCATAATATAAATGTACTATTAAAAAAACCGACCTCAAAAGTTGGTGGAATTACATTTATTTGCCAAGTTTTAATTGAAATCGGTTACCGGAAAGTGTGCGAAACCAGATTCATCCCCTCGTTTGCCACCCTTAGATGTGGAATATTCCCTTCAAATATAAATGGGACCAATACTGAGGTATCCTCTTTCCAACAAAAAAAGAATCATCGAAATCGATTCGCAAATGCCGATATCCCGAGTTATCGCGGAACACACATACAACAAAAACAGACGAATTGAGAACCTCTTCCTTTTTGAAATCGGTTACCAATCATTAACATTTTTAACTTTACCGCCAAAAATAAGGAAACGCAATTTTTTTTCACTTTTAAAACTAACTACAATATCAAAATGGCAAATTAGTTCAATTATAACATTTTCCTTCGCCATTATCGCGGTGCGAAATAAGACAATGATAACAAATTAAAAAAAAATGGAATTCCAACAAGGACCGCGCCTCAGTTATGTTTTTTACCGACTTAAAAAAGGAGGAGGTTATACTTTCGTCTCTATGTATGTATTCCGATTTCTCCGGGAATTACAAACACACATACAAAAAAATACATATAAAAATAAGTAAAATAAAAGTTTATTTTTGGTAAATTTATTGTAGGAAATGAAACTATTTTTCCATATTTAAATCGCGTAAGTATATTTGTTTTTTCAAACAAACCAACGTTTCGAGCCCTTTACAGGTCCCAAGATCACGGTTGACTGAGGTGGTACAGTCATCAACCAGTTATGTCTAATATTAATGCAAACCAAGCTATTTTTTCACTATAGTTACAAAAGTTATTAATTAAATACCTTATTTTTAATTTTACCATGAACATTCCAATTTACGCTGCATACGTTTTACAAATCAACCACCTCAGTCAACAATGGAACCTTTAAAGTGCCCGAAACTTTGGTTGGTTTGAAAAAACAAATATACCCGACTTAAATCCGGAAAGATAGTTTCATTTCCTATGTGTAACAATTGCGAAAACCTAAGAACTCGATAAATTTATTGTATTTTCTAAAAAAAAATGGAACAAAACTTGTTTATGATGTTAGTATTATAAATAGTCCTGCAAGGTTGTTATTTTCTTACAAATGTTATTTCAGTTATCATCATTATCAGTCATTTAAAAAAAAATCCCCTTTATATATACATAATTACATTTAATAGTCCCAGACCAAAAAGTTAGTATCCAAGTAAGCTAACACATCGACAGATGTTAACATCAAGGTAGGTTCTAATAAACTAACCGCTAGCGATAAATTTCCTTGCTAACTAAACACGTTACTAAGAGTGGTACAATTAATTCAGGTTTAAATCTACTGTCTACGTATCTATATATTGTTTTAATGGATGTTTCAAAATTAATCTAAAAGAATAATTATACATTTTAGTTATCACTAAATACATGTCAACTTGTTAAATGGCAGGGCAAATGTTAATCCAATCGTAATTATTATACTCACCATTGTAATTATTTTACACACACACACATAGTATTATATACAACACACACGTAAATATTACAGAAAATGAACTTAAATACACCCATTACTTACAAAAGCATTGTACCAATTTTAAATGGAAATAAAAACTTTATTTGCAAATAAGAAAGATAATTATTGATATAAAGATGGAACACTAGACAAATTCGATCAAGCACGTTATGCTGAAGGCGCTGGCTCGAATCCAGCGGGATCAATGGAATTTTTCTTCGTTTCGATCTTAAAACAAACTAGTGGAGTAATTTCAAAATAATAAAAATTTAACATCATAATAGTAAAACATCGTGATGTTCAATATTAATTATAAACTTTGCAATACAAATGAGAAAGACGATTAAAAAAAATGAAATTTAGAAATAGAAAGAAGACGAGGTGTCTGTTGGCACCCTTGTAAATACAAAATTGGTACAATTCCTTTAATGTGAGCACTCTAAATCAAAATCAAAATAGGCTTTAATAAAGGGTATTAGTAGTTATTTCCTGACAAGAACCATGTGTTCTACTGCTGACTATTTTTTCTTTGATCACTATGTAACAAATTTTCAAAAAGATTATTTTCTAGTTTGACACTATTGATTGTTGTTTAATTGAGCAGCTAGTATATAGGAAAGTGGAGCTGTACCCCGGAAACTTTGTTTTTGTGGTTACCATAGCAGTATTTATATAGCTGCCTATATAGTATAGCTACATATTAGTAGGAATTTATTTAAAAGTTGATATGTAGCAATGTGTAAGTATGTTATAATATATACGTAGTACGTTTTTGTGAAGTTTGTTTGAGAAAGTATGCGGTTCAATTTGTACATCGTTTAGCTGCTTTGTGCACCATTAACTGCCCTTCACCTAAAACTCCGTAATAATTTGTAATGTTGCCTGGAAGAAATCGCTGTCTAGCGATAAGGCCGCCGATTGTACCTTTAACTATGTTTTATCTTTTTTGTATTGTCACTGCTTATTATTTTGTGTGCAATAAAGCTTATTCTATTCTATTCTATCCTATAATCTAGCAAATTTCCACATTTCTAAGTACTTTGTAATCGATTTGTGTAACTTTGGTTGAAATCGATTTAAAATGTATTCCCATTCCCGAACACGAGAATTTATATTTTTCCTTTATGGTACGCAAGTTTCAACTTTTCGTTGTACTGACCAGAAAGGCAAAGTTTTTGGAGATATATAAATTTTTCCATGTTTTTCTGTTAGAACCAATTAGAAAACGTGTTACATAGTAATTATTTTTAGTTACACAATAATTAAAGTGAAATCACTAAATTAATTATTAATGTATAGACGTTTAAAATGACAATAATGTAAATAACGTATGGTTAAAGTCAGGAGTCGTCAACTAACAACCTGAAGTGGTATGCCTTCTTAAATAATAAAATAATTTTAAGATCTATAAATTTAACTTTAGTTTAGAAAGAAACATTGTTGTATCCGATAAGGAAGTAAAATACTAGTGTTTTAATATTTAGGAAAAACTCAAGTCAATACAGTATTTTCCTACGGTTTACCGGTAAATTGGCTCAAAAAGCCTTCCTTTTTGTCTTTCTCATGTTAAAAATACATCAAATCAGACAATAACTTTAACCATGTCTAGTAAAATACGCATGATAAGTTACACGAAGAAGAGAAGATTATTAAAGTGAGTCCAGTTTTTATTGTGCATTGAAAATTCGTAAATAGTACCTACCTATAGTCTATCTTTTTTGATGACGGAGTAAAATGATAGCTAGTGATTGCAGTCGATTAATATTCGACTATCGACTGAATATTGGACACGGTTATGGAATAAATAGCCGGACTTGTTTCATTAGAAACATCCTCGACCCATTATTCATTCAATTACAGAGCACAAGTTCATTTAAATTGTCAATTTTTCTAAGTTGATACATATACGTACACTATATTTAGAACTACGTTTATGAAAAATACAAAGAATAGACATATTTTAAAGTTTTTCATTTTAATTCTATGTAGATAACCAAATCCGGCTGTTCTTGTTAAAATGTACATGAATAAAAATTGATCTCAATATTACTAGGCTAACTGTCAAAATAAGAATGAAGAAGGCAATAACGCAATTAGTAATCACTAGAACGTCGAAACCTTCACAATTCATGCATTTTTGGCAAAATTTTATCTTCTTTCACAAACTATCGATAAAATTATCGACAACAACCACATAACTATTTAAAATTTTATGAAAACTGGCAACCCTACAAATGTCATGTTGGTACTTGGTACTTGGTGCAACGGGCTGATATCCGCAACTCGACGACAAAGCGCCTATTTTGCGTGCAAATGTCATGTAACTCCGTCTTCAAAAAAGATAGACTCTAGACATTTACAGAAACCACAAGTATGTGCAAAAGATTAGTTTTTCAAGAAAGAAAGATATTATCAAATTTAAAAAAAACCATTTCCGTAAATAAAATGTATTTTATTAAATGAGTAGCTTTACGGCACACAACGGTATATACAAGCCATCCTAGCCAATACCTTTAATAAATATAAAACGTACATAAAAATCTTAAAGAAAAAGTAATATCATTAAATTCACACCTAATATGGACAAGTATTATGTACAATATAGACAATTTATTATAATAACTCCACCCCTTGCACCCCAGGATTTAGCAAAAGTCAGACTTAGATTAAATAGGAACAAGTCAATATCACTCTAGAAAAATATTTAATCCAAGTTCTGAGTCCAACACCTCACCCCCAATCACTGAGTTTAAGCAAAATTGAAGAGAAACCCACTCTGTTTGACGTCGGTCTGTCGTCCGCATTTCCGATGAATGGTCCAGAACCAAACCAGTTGACTCTGTTACTTGTTGAAGACGCGACTGATGGACCTGGGGACGCTTCTGGCCGTCTATTTGGCCTTGATGCTGATGGTCCTGGATCGGTTTCTCTCCACTGTTGCCAGAGCCACGCTAGACCATCCAAGATTGGTCTTCTGGCAGGCGCCGACGGTGGTTGTGGCGGCGGCGGCGGCGGCAGCGGTGTTGTCGTTCTTCTAGTCTTCGGGGTCACTACCACTTGGTTGAGTAAAGCCTACGACGTTAAGTTAGTTCTAGTATTCATTTATATTTATATATTGAAATAAATTTTTTAGTGAGGAAATATAACTTCTAAAGTTCAATTAAGTGTACTAAATATTAAGTATAGAAAATAAGAAGATAGATAAAGAGAAGTCAAAGATGAACGAGAAGCGTTTCATGCTGTTAACTTTGATGATATCATGAAACTGAAGGTTTACGTGTTTCAGGTTATGTACATGCAAGAATGGGTTCCAGGTGAAACATAGTATCACAAACGTAGCCAGAAAAACGCGATAAAGAAAATGCGTTCAATGGAAAAATGTACATAAAACATGTGATTTTATAGTATACAAAATCAACAGAGCCGTTCGCAATTTGCATATCTTCCAAAAAACTTATGCTGAAAGCATTGACTTATAATTGTAAGTCAATGGCTGAAAGTGATCCGTCAAGACAACATAACAATTGCACCAGAAACCATATAGTCTATGGATACTGACTTTATAAAAAAGTAATAAAATTATCTGGCTACGTTCTTCGAAGAAAGGAGAGAAAAGAAACTAACAGCGAGTCGTAGTTGCTCATCCAAAGAACTTGCCGTGGTTGGCCCAAAGCCTTGCTCCTTGAGCAAAGCTGCTAGTAGTGCATCGTTACTCTTCCCATACTCTGTACTAACTGACGCGGGAGTTTTAGTCGCCTCCGACATCATATTTGTTGGCTTCACCTGCTGCAGTAACTTTTGCAGTGCCTCATCACTTGATTGTCCTGGAATATTTTTTATAAAAATTATAATATAATAAGATTATTATTCACAGGAATCAACTTTCTAATTTATATATTTATTATAATTTCTAATGACAATTAACGAAACGTTTTGTAAAATGAAATTATAACGCAATTGGAACTGTCATTATGGTCTCATAAAACTTTTCGATTGTACAATAATCACAAAGTATGGCTTGCTGATACATAACACTTAGTAAGTATTAGAGTACAACTCATAGTAAAAATCACCTGTAATAGCTAGTTTAGTTCTCTGCGTCTCGGTCTGCTGTACACCCTGCAATTTGATCAAAGTTTGTAACAATTTTGCATCATCTTGCTCATTCTTGAGGTTGTCCTTAACAACTATCTTCGCACCGAAAGGTCTAGCCGTCATAGGGACGGCCGTAGCAACACTTGGTTTAGCACTAGGTTTCCGAGTTAAAGTATCGAACTGTTCATTTAGCGGTGAAGGCATAGCAAACAGATTTGATAGTAATTTCAAGTCATCAGTGGCTCCAGACGGTAGTTTTGGACTCACATTCTCTATCGAAGGTATGTTTGGTAGTGTTGGAATGTTAAATTTTGATGGATCTTGTCCCGTTGCTTTTATGAGTGCCTGTAATAGTTTTGTGTCTTCCTGAAATTGCTTAATGTCTTCTTCTAATGATGGTGTATTTTCGTTGATAGTTGTTGTTATTGGTCGTTGGGTAGTTGTAGTAGTCGTCGTAGTAGTGGTCGTAGTTGTCGTAGATGGTATGTAAGGAGGAGTAGTGTTTATGTTCTTTCCTGTGCGGCCTACATTAGCTTGTTTATTGGACTGAATCTCGTTCAAACTTCTTTCTACGGCTAGAGCAATGATACGATTTGCTAATTGTGCTTCGGGTTCTTCGTTACCGGTGTTTGTATTAAGTACAGATTTCTGGAAATAAAATAAGATATTATTAGATATTAATAGAATTAGATATTATTATTATATAATTATTATTAGGCGGTATGTTAAAGTATCAGTTTTAAAATATGTGTATGTTTCATTCGATAAATTAAATAAGTGCACCAATATCTTATAAAACAAAACTAAATAATTATTGTCATTAAAACTTACCAAGTTTTGTAAAAAGGCCAAATCTTCTTCGTCCGAGAACGTAGAAGTACTAGGAATCTCAGTAGTCACCGTATATCTAGACGCAGGTACACGGCGAGCAGTAGCCACGGTGGTAGCTCTGGTGGTTGTTGTTGGCAACCTTCTTCTCGCCTTAGACCGCAGCGTTGTTGTTATACCGATCTCTTCTGTGGTAACTGGTACTTGAGGCTGGAATGTAGTCAACACAGGACTAGGAATATTTGTAAACACAGGAGAAGGAGGCGTAGTTGTCCTTGACGTATACACTGGACGAACATTCACTGGTGTAGTTGGATTAGATGCTACAGACGTTGTCTGAGGGTTAGATGCAATTCGGACATTTGAAGTTACCCCTGAGATAATCGGAACGTTTGTGTTGCCAGTGTTCTGACCGTTTACTTGTAACAGTGCCTGTAAAAGTTTAGCCTCCTCTGCTATCTTTTTTATTTCATCGTCAATTGAGATGGTTGTTGTTTGAATTCTAGTTGTAGTTGTCGTTTTTATAGTTGTTGTTGGTGGTGATGGTGGGGTAGATGTGGTTGGTGGTATAGGTGGAGTTATAGCCGTAGGCCTAGTCGGTATATTCAAGTTGTCCAGTGAAGGTATATTTAAACTAGCTGGATTTTGTCCAGTAGCAGCCAAAAGTGCCTTTAGGAGTTTAGTGTCTTCTTCGAACTGTCTTATATCGTCTTCAATTGACCGAGATGTAGTAGTTTGCGCATTGATTCTTAAATTTCCATTAATATTGGGTATAGAAATTGTACTTGGACTTTTAGTATTAGCAGCCAATATTGCTTCAAGAAGTTTCGTTTCCTGACTTTTTTTAGTTGTTCCTATATTAGTAGTTCTCACTGTTGTACTGTCAACAGGTATTTGATTGTTGCTGGTGAAAACGTTTAAATTTTTAGCAGTTCGTTCCGTCTGTAGCAAATTTTGAAGAAGTTTAATGTCTTCTTGGTATTTGCGTTCTTCCTCTACAGTTGTGACTGACGATAATGATGTCACAGTTGTAGGAACTGAAGTTGTCGTTTGCGCAATTGTTGTTGAAATTGTTGTTGTTGGTGCTGGTGTTGTAATAGTAGTAGTGGTAGTAGTAATAGGTTCAAACGTTGTGGTTGGTTCAGGTGTCGTAGATGGCAACCAAGTTACAAATGTAGCTATTGGCCGAGTAGTGAAAATTGCTGGATTTGTAACAATATTTGTGAACGCTGTCTCTGATGTAGTAGCAATTGGAGTACCGGCTGTCATTTGAACTGTAGTAGTTTGCTCGTCATTTCCTAAACGTGTCAGAATTTGCGGCATTCCTGTATTTACTTCAGTAAAAGCAGTTGAATCCGTTGTTCTAGTTCTGGTTGTTAATGGTGATTTGGTTGAAGCCAACTTTAGTACATTGGTATCTTGTGGAGCCGCAGTTACTTCGTCTATTGGTATAAATTTAAATACGGCTCCACCATTTCCATCCAAAGGCTTTTCAGTTCGTATTTGTTTTGTCTGTAAAGTGGATTAAATGGAATTATTATTACGTCAATCTGTAAAATAGTATTTTGTGATCATAGCTACAATGAATTCACAACAGCTACATGTACTGCCACCAACTCACCACTTACCTTTACCAGAGTTTGGAAAAAATGATACCGAAACTAATAATGACTCCATGTATTATTTCTAACCACTACAATGTTTAATAAATGGTTTCGATGCCAATAAATTAATTAGTAAGTAAATTATGTGACTGATTAATACAATGTGATGAATTAAATGGTTATACCTCCGGATCGATATCCAGTGTTAATATTCTCGGTTTGATAGTTGAGCTCGTCATTGATGATATGACCATCTCCTCTTTAGCGGCCGATGATATACTATTAAGCAGAATCTCGTCAACAGAAGGTAGCATTGTAGTTGTGCGTAAACTCAAAACATGCGAGGCAGTGCTTTTTTCAGCAGGCAGCCTAATTGTGGCAGTAGTTACACCCAATGAACTGCTATCTTTTATATTAAGTGTCGTAGGTATCTGCAATTACGAAATAAAATGTTACGCTTTGCAGTGTTAGTCGATGGAAGCGGTTATCGTGCAGTAGCATGCAAAGCTAACTATGTATCAAAGATCCACAGTTGTCCGGCTTATGTCCGCATGCGCAATTCTCCCACTAGAAACTGCTGAAAGTGAAATAAGCCCCTAGCGCAGCTTTAAGCTAAAGAACTTAAAGTCAATACCATCGGTTGCTGGTTATTTACAGTGTCGTTGGTTAAGTTTTCCGTTCCGTTATTGGAGGAGACTGTGGATGTCACGATATTAGTGGATACTCGGATAGGGTTAGACTGCGGTCTGACAATGGCCGGGTTGTTATGGATGGGGCTGTATGGGTTTCTCAAACTCCATGGACTGATTGGTAGTACCTCAACTCTTTGCATGACACGTGGTACTCTGGTTCCATTCGGGAATCTACGTATTATTGTGTTATTGGGTAGTACGCCGTAAACAATGTAAGGGCTTGATTCTGTTATTGTTTCTAGTATGTCATCATTGGGGTCTTTACGTACCACTGTATTATTTGGTAGAATTCCGAAAATAACGTAATCTTTTTTTGGTGGTTCATTGGATACTATAAGCTTATTAGAAACAATCGTAACTGGATTTTGCTTCGTTTCGTTTTGGGAAGCTCTTCGAGTCGTGTTATCATCAGTTTCCAGGTTCTCAGTCAGTAAATTCATTGATGTTGTAGTATCGATATTTTGGGTTATTTCTGTGTTTGATATAGCGGTAGTGGTTTCTGTATTTTCTTGGAAAGTGGTTTGTATCGTGTCTTGTTGTAATCTGTTTGACACTTCATTTACTTCTTGATTTGTTGTAGCGGATGTGGTACTGTCCGACACCTCAGTTTGCATTCCTGCTGTAGTTGAAGTAGGAGTACCAAACCGAGTAGATAAATCAACATCAAACTGGCTTATTGTCCGTAACACATCTTCAAGTGTTGCAATACTTTCTGTTGTTGTTACAACAGTTGTGCGGTTATTTTCAGGACTTCCGTTTGTAGAGGAATCAGTTTGTGGGGATAACGTTGTAAAAAGAGGGAAAGGACTAACGGTAGGGGTAGCAGAAGAGGAAGAAATATCGTCGTTATTGACGGCAGATGTGAACGCTGTCGTAGAAGTCATCGTATTTATAATTTCAGTCAGACGATTTGACAGAGGAATATTATTAGATTGGGTCAATAACTCAGTCAAAGGGGGAGCAGTCGCTATTTCATCATTATGCTGTCGTATAAGGTCTTCTATCATCTGTAAAACTCTAGCCTTTTTCGAAAGAACCCAAAATTCGAATGGTGATACTTGGCTAGGATCTTGTGGGCCAATAGTGGCCGGGGTTTGTGAAGAAGAAATTGATTTAGTAGTTAAATGTAAGGGTTGTAATACTGTCGTTAACATCTCACCTGGCTCCTCGGTGTCGCTTGGAGTAAAATCGACAACTTTGAAATTTGTGAAAAATGGGAGAGGTACATTCGTGTTAGTAGAGTTTTTCGACGATTCCCCAAGTATATTATTCTGTATATTTACATTCACCATTTCTGTATCTTCAGAGCCAGATGACGTAGTAGAGATAACACTAGTCGTTTTAGTCGGTATTGTTGTAGAAGAGACATTAGAAGTTAAATTTACGATTGTTTCCGTGGTACCAACAGACGTCACCTGGCTACTGGACGCAGGCAAAGTGCTACTTACAGCTCCCTGTGAACTACCGACATTATTTACAGCCTGGGAAGGGGTGTCAAGAATTTCGAGAGAGGAGAAAATATCGGTCTGTGCTCTATTTACACTGTCATCTACCGTTACAGCCTGGAGAGTACCTGTAGTATTACTATCTCTAACGGTTTCGGTGCCAACTTTAATATTTGCTGTATCATTAATATCCTCCAAACTATAAGGTGTCGTTTCAGGAATGTTTGTGTCGTCATTTACATTCGTGAGGTCTAAAGCCCGGGGAATTAACGTCCTTAGTAAGTTTACCATATCATCTACAGATATTTTAGATCTAGTCCGCTTATCCATATTCTGAATAATATTGTTGATATTATTGGACAACATGCTAGTTAGTTCTGACGACACTAAATTGTTGTTAGTCAACAAAAGATCTGACACTTTGTTAAATACCGTTATAGGGCTGTCAGTCGATGGTTTATCAGATGTAGTAGAATCAGAGGCAGTCGATTTGTCAATGGATGTATCTGTTCCTGAATACAAGACTTTAATTGCGAAAGGTTTTCTTGCGGACAGAGGAGTTGTGGGAGTAGGAGTAGGTGTATTCACAGGTCTAGCTGTCGCTCTTTCTGTGTTTAGTGACGGTGTAGCAGTTTCCCCAAATGACAAATTGTTAAACACATTAGGTGTTGTCTGTTCAGTGATTTTTACAGATTTAGTATACGCGTTCACGTCAGCGAACGTTGTGAGTGGGTTCTGACTATTTACAGTAATACTGTTACTCACTCCGTTGAGAGTCTGTTTATCGTTATTGTTTTGGTTGGGCGTTACTGCTGTAGTCGTTGATAGTCGTGGTGTTCTGGGTGTGGATGTCAGTATTTCAGCTAGAGCGTCGAAAATAGATATTGTAACCGAGGGCGAGTGTTCTAAAGTTTCAACGTTCATTGTTTGTAAGGGTTTCGCCAAACTCTCTGAAATTCTCAAGTCTGCTGAGGATAGTGTACTTCGGGTCTGAGTAAAGGAGATAGAATTCATGTCAGTCCCTAACTGATGTTCTTCTCCCTCTACCTGAAATTAGAAGTAATCTCACCCATATAAACAGATAATAGACAATGTGTACAAATGTATAGAAAAAAAACATGTGGGAAAGACCCAAAGATTTGTTGGTAGAAACTCGTGCAAAGACCAAAGCCTCTTTATTACTCTTGGAATTAAGAATTAGAAAGAAAAAAATAGTGTCAAATAGAAAACAGGAGAGAAAAGAAAAGTGTGACTCCACATTAAAACAAGTCGTAGTATATAAATATTAAAATTTAATATCCTTATATCGCATGTTAGTAGTATTTATTCTATTTACATTTATATATTCTAGTTCGTTTAACTTAAGCGTTAAGTTGTTAAATATTTTTGTATTATATGAAATTACTTTAAAATAATATATTTATTGCTTAACGCAAAAGCTCTCTAAAATATGTTCACGTCTTAAAGAGATGCGTTATTTAAAATAAATGCTTATAATATACTCCACTGTCAAACTTTTCAAATAAAATGATATGTTACTAAAACTGTTGAACACATTCCTGAAAAATGTAATGAATCTTATGAGATATTAAAGTATCCTTTTACTATAAACAAAGGAATAAAAAGGGATAGCAATAATCCTAAAAAATCTTTTTATGTCTAAATGCGCATGATAGAGATTAAAGACTTGACAAGTAAAATAAAACATCTCTTCAAAACTAAAATTAATAAAACTTTACAATGAATGGGTGAATGAAATGAACATGTTTAGTAAAGTGATAGTAGTGTCAACTATATGAGTCCATTAACCAGTTCTAATGATGATTCATGTGAGACTGGTGGCGTTGTGAAGCTCTGCGACTCAGTCGTAACGTAAATGTCCTCGTCTTCAAACCATTTAGGCTCTTCAACGGACTTTGCCAACAGATGGTCAGTCACGAAGAATTTCAGCCAAGCCTTCAGCAATGAGAAACTTTTTATTATCATCTGGTTTATAAGGTTTTATGTTATTGTTCGCGTTATTGGCAGAAGATTCCTGCATAATATATACAAGGTTCACAAAACCCTACGAAGACATATGTATGTCCGCATTGGTCTGGTACCCTTAGAATCCCTGAAAATCTCGCTTCTCAATAGGAGAGAATATGTACGGTGATTCGTCGAAGCTTTGTGAGCATGTGATTTGAAGACAATAAAAATCTGTCCATTCCAACGCAGATTGGACAAATACAGTTCATTAATAAATAATGAATAAGCTTACTCAATGGAAGTTTCTTTGATTACCATTTAATGTAATGATGTGAATGAAATGAATAATGAAAAACACATTATAATACTAAAATTATAAAATAATGATGACGAGTAAATGATTCAACTTCAATTTTTGCGATTTTCGATAGTTAATATTGTAAGTCTTGCAACAAAATTGTTCTTGTTATTGATGTCATACCTGGTGATGTTATATTGATGTGATAATAACATAATATATTTATTTGAATGGCAATTTCTTTTAAATTTAAAACGAATGTGATCGAACAGATTATGAAAAATAACGCGTATTTCTTAATGCCAATTATATAAAGGGGCTTTGTCCTGTATATCTACATCACGTTTGAAAACAATTTTGAACACACACAATTTTGAAAACAAATAGATATTATTTACAACTATTGCTGTTATTTAAAATACTCACAGTTGATGGGGTTATAGTTGGAACTGTAGGTTTATACGGGATCCTATCTTGGTATGAACCTCGGTATTTTGAACTAAATCTACCTTCATGTTTCTTTTCTGGTGGTATCTGTAATATAACATTTGTTACATTGCAATAAAATTTCATTAAAGCCATTACCATAAACACTGTCATATTTTTAATCGTCACAGAAAAGGTTCTTAATATTAATCGGTTTTAAATCAAAGTTACTTACCCCATTTGTAGAAGGTTCTGTTGTTTTAGAGTATGTATCACTAAATTTTCTCAAATATCTTTCCCGTGGCTTAGGTGTCACTTCAGGGGCCTCTTCGTTAGGGTTAGCCGTGGCGAAATGTGGTCTTGAATATTTCCTAGTTTGAATATTTCTTATTGCTGGAGTTACCTCTACGGGTGCATTAGTTTTGTTCTCCGTTACGTTTACTACAGCGTGATTTTTATAAGTTGCATGGAATTTTGAAATCAAAGTTTCGTCAGAATTTACCTTGTTTATAATTTCCTCACTTCTGCTTGACACTTCGTTTTCAGTGCTCTGTTCTTGAGATTCTTTACTGGTTACAGCAATAATAAACATTTTCTTACCTTTTTGCTCTTGTATGCCACTAATTGTCGTCTCATTCTCAGTTTTTGTGAGAGTAGGGGTCTTTAATAAGCTAAAAATTAAAGGCATGTCGACAAAATCTTCCTTTTTGCTATCTGCGGTCTTTTCATCTTTAGGTACTTCCGTGACAGCTTCAGTTGTAGATGTAGATAATTCGATTCTTGATTTATTTCTAAGTCGAGAATAATAAGACGTTTTCGGCAATAAAGCTTTACTTGGTGTCACTACCAAAATATTACTCTCATTGTTGACATTATCTGCCATGTTAGCTTCAGTACTTGATGTGGTTTTACTTCGCCTTGAAAAATATGCTGGTCTCGACTTCTTCACTAAACTACTGCTATCAAGTTGCCTAGGTTTTATTATAATTTCTGTACTCGGTGACTCCGTTGTGCTAGATTTAAACTTTCTATGAAATTTATAGGAAGTAGTTCTAGCAGTAGAACTAAGTGCTGCTGTGGGAGAAGTGTGGTATAATTTTCTACTCCTTGGATTGTAAGTCCCTCGTGGTCGGACTTGTGTTATATTTTTTGGTTGCTCTGGTAAGGCTGTGGTTTCAATCGGCTTTCCCTCATCGTTTTCATCCGTTTTTGATTCTTCAGCGTTTGGCTTATTGCGAAACTGTAAAATTTGTTCTTGAAATTAGTGACGTTTGTATGAAGTTTAAACTAATTTATACAGAAAAATATACCAAGGGTGAAATAGGTATTTATCTCTACAATTTATTTATTTATTTATTTATTCTTAGAACATAATAAGAAAATATTACTATCTGGGAGAATTGCATTACAAGAAGTCTCTGTAAATAAATCTGTGGGTTTATGTTTAGAAGGTGTGAATGTTTTTTTTAAGTAGGTTATGATATGTGTAGTTATGCTACATTACCCGTGTATTGTATCTGTTGTACTTAGCGGGATCAGTATTAGTAGTTTGAGCTGATGATGAGTAGGTTTTGTATATTTTTTGTGATGCTCTCACTGACAAACTCTCGCTGGTTGGAGAGCTCGCTTGTGTCTGGAAATGTTTAATAATTTGCATATGCTAATTGGTGTAATTAAACAAACTGGGTGCACTTTCAGTCACAATGCTGTATCTAAATATTATTTAATTCATATACTTACAGTTGCATTTTTGGCCTTAATTAATGCTTTGAAACTTGCTGGATAGTTGTCATCTTCGCTGATCTCATCCGAAGTTTTAGCCAATTTGGACAGTTTTACGGCAGCTCTAAAATTAGACTTGCCTCTTGGCAACGGAGGTCTTCCAGGCTTTATAGTAGTTGATGTTATAACTACTGCCTCAGTACTCGGCTGCATAGTCGATTCCACTACCACCGGAGCAGGAGTTTGGATTTCTGGTTGACTAGTATCACTCTCTTTGTTCTGACTAGACTTAGTGACTGCATTAACTGTGATTCCTTCACCGGTTAGATTAGTGTCGGTTTCCGATAGTCTTGTTTTATATCTTAGCTTCTTGGAGTCTCTCAAATCTGCTGCTGTTCGTGCAGTTCTGGGTTCTTTGTTGGAAACAGTAAAAGTATTGGTAGTTCCAGAAACAGATAGATCGAGGGATTTCGTATCAGTTCGGGTACTGACGCGCCCCCGTCGTCTTGGTGCTGTACTTTCTGTGGAAGGAGGTGGATTTCTTCTTCTGAATGTTGTAGCTGAAACATTTTCGATTTTAGGTGTCACTCTGGGGATGTCATCCAAGTTAGAATTTACGACTTCGATTTTGGATTCGTCGATTGTCGGCGAAGACACTTCTATGGTGGGTTCGGTTGAGCTAGTTCTTCGGCTGAACGATTGCGGTCTTTGCTTTACGACATAGTGTTTAGTCGTTGGTACTTCTTTTTGTTGACTTTCGACAGGCCTATTTCGTGTTCGACTATTGGTCCTTCGAGAATCGAATCGTTCGTTTCGTTGGGGTCTTCCTTGTTCGGCCTCTGGTGTCTCTTGAGGCCTACCTCGAGTCCTCGTCCGTGTCGCTTCTTGCGGATTTATTGACTCTCGCCTTCTAGAACTTCTCGATCTGAAAGTGTATTGCACTTCTTCAGGTTGATTAGAGTCTGTTCTGGCTTCGGGTGCCGATGGTGCTATTAACCTTCTGCTGGTCCGCGGTACGCCTTCGGTCTGAAAAGAATAAATATATATTCTTTATGACCTTCACAACACAAACATCAAGTGTTATATAAATTAAGATAAAGTTTTCATAAATCCAAACTTTCAAAAGCAATAAAACTACCTGGTAATATTATACTGCATCTGATGGAAAGTGCAACAAAGATGAGCAAACAATGCATTATGAAATGGAGGATTACATCTCTATGCAACTGAGTGTTAAGAAAGTACAGGCTTCAACAAAGTAGAAATTTTGAGACAATGCAAAAGAGCGGTCATTGAAATGAATGATTTCCGACAATCATAATTTAATATGACGTAATTTAAGTAACCCATTGTTTCTTCCGCATACTATATGGTCAGCAACCATGACGATATGCGCAGTGACATCATTTCTTACAACTATGCTAATTTGTGAAAATTATTTTGATATTCATCTTGATCTACAAGTCCTATTTCCGATATCCATTGCTAAAAAGCATTTTGCTCATTGCCATTTTCATTTCGAACTTAATGTTTTCTATAACAATGGAGATATACAAAACAAATTAGTAGAGGTTACTTTTTCAAATGAAGACATTATTGAATCCAACATCCGTAATCCATACTGGTGTAACATGACTCTACAAAAAGCGGTTGACATTTCGACTAGCAATTTGTTACGATCCATATGATTTAATTGTAATATTTTTATTGCTTCGTGTCAGGTACAAACTGTTAAGTTTTAAATGTTTTAACTTCTCAAATAAAAAGTATCCATTTCAAAGGTAATTTATGGTATCTTTTACTATAAAAACAAAATCTGACTTCAGATACATATTTTACACTACATATTCTAGATTTTTGCAGCAATGATGAACGGAACCTGGGCAGATATTTTTTTTTTTTTTTTTTTTTATACATGACAGGCAAATGATTTTTGAAATGATGTATGAAACGGCAACTTTTTTGAACCGTTCATTACAACCATCAGCTGGACTAGTTCTTCTGAACATAGACCTCTACATTCAATTCCATTTTTCATACAATCTACATACGTGTCTACGCAGAGCTCTATAGTCTATAGTTTGATCCTGAATAGACTGTGCACTAAGTCCAACCCATTAGACTGTAATAACTGGTTAATTTGATATCGAATTCGAAATATCTGTGGAGGTAATTGCTAACAATAGTTCAATTCTTGACCTTGTAATTATAAAGTCAGGTGTTCACTTTGAAAATCAAATGTTGTGAAATTACTGACAAGTTATATGATTCAAAGTTTAGTGTGTATTAAATTCGATCTACCTAATAAAATAATAATTTAACATAATAACCCGTGACTTGTAAATTCTAAACAAAAGTCAATAAGTTCATTATTTCAATTTCAATTGTTTCTTGCCACATTACGATGGAACAATAATTTTGGTGGGACACATGAGACGCCCTGCAAAAGCGCAGCAACTTCAGAGGGTAAAGTTCATAAATCACACTATTTCATTATGTTAAATCATTATATTACATTATTTTTAATTAGTAATAATCTCAGTACAGAGTACTAAAAAACCGACCTCAAAAGTACGTGGAATTACATCTATTTGCTAAGTTTTATTGAAATATCCCCTAGTTTGCCACTATACAGGACTTGACACTGGAGATAATAATAATCGTTTCTCACAACTCAAAGTATATTGAGAGAAAAACGCCTTGAATTGGAGAAATAGCAAAATCAACCATTAAAATAATTGCTCCTAAATTAAAGTTAGGCGCTATTTATAAAATGAATCTTCATGCGAGAACAGCCACCCTTAAAGGTGGATGATTTTCTTCAAAATGAAATGAGACCACTATGGAAGTACCCCCTTTCCAACAAAAAAAAAATCATGAAAATCGGTTAACAAATACCGGAGTTATCGCGTAACATACATACATACAAAAAAAAGAAAAGAATATACAGTCGAAAATGAGAACCTCCTCCTTTTTTGAAGTCGGTTAAAAAGGAAAACATACATTATACAAAATATTCATTTTAAATAATTATTAATGAGAGAGGACTAAGTATTTTTATTATTATTATTATTTGCCATCATATTTAACGTCAAAAATCGTTATGATCGTTATATATAATCGTTATGTTTAATCGTTAATAAACTATTAATAAGGAATGTTTTTAATTGTTTGCTGAATTCCGTAAGTCTTTCCTGGTTTTTAATGTAATTTGGGATGTGGTTATGAATTCTAATTAACAGGGTGTGTGGGTGAGACATAACTAATTTCATTTTGGAAAAGGTGCCTTTAACTTCTTTAACTTTCTGTTATCTCTTTTGTGATTCGTTGGTTGTGAATATAACCATAACTTTTTTATAAAAAAAAAATCTCAAAAGTTCGTGGAATTATATCTATTTATCATGTTTTATTGAAATCGGTTAGCGGAAAGTTCTCGAAACCGGATTCATCCCCTGGTTGTCCACCCTTAGAGGTGGAATAGTTTTTTCAAATTTAATTGGGATCAATGCTGATGTACCCTCTTTCCAACAAAAAAATCACCAAAGTCGGTTCACAAATACCGCTTGTAGTCGGTTAAAAACTGTGGGTGCTTCCTAGCCTGCCTCCGTGGCCGAACGGTTACCATGCCGGACTACCACGCAGAGGTTCCAAGTTCGATTCCTGGGCCGGGCGAAATATTTGTATGACCTAAATTTATTTCTCTCGTGAGTTTGGGTGTAATTTGTGGTTGTCTATGTGTGTGTCCATGGCACCCGCGACACAGGGTTTCCCTAGTGCGGGGCTATGTTGAGTGTGTGCGTTATTATTATTATTATTATTATAACATCAGTCATCGCTGAATTCATAATTTATATTACAATATCATCACCTCTTATGTTTACATCCTATACAACCCACTGCTGAGCACAACAAGAATATTTAGTCAACAGTTCGCCATTCTGACCCAATGCTGGTTGGGGTCACGTTTTCTAAGGGTTGCGAACCTTCTTCGATATACTGGTTTCATAACAATATTTCCTTCAACGTTAGCGAGAGGTAACGTTACGAAATGTTTACAAATGTACGTAATTTAAAAGTTAAGTCATAGGTACATATAGCCACAATGATTCGAACTGTCATCTTCTTGATTCAGAAGCAACCACTCTCACACTGGGCTACCATCGCTCCACTAAATATAATATATAATACTTTCAGAAGTATTGCCACCTTACCTATTTCTGCCGCCAAGCTGTAATGTCAGCACTACTACCGGTTTTGAAGGGTAAGGGTGAAATTATAGGCACTCAGAGTCATAGGCGCAGTGGCAGTGCTCCTCAGATCATTGAGATTTAAAATTCTGAGTGACATTGCAACTGCTAAGGACAGACGTGTCGCTGATCACCAGGCGCACGACTTATTGGTGCCGTTCATTCATCGTCATTGGACACGTATCATTACATCATTTTTCTAACACGCTCCATAAGATCGTAAGTCTCATGTTCCTGTGAATGGGATAGTTCTCCCTGCAATTGGATTCCGCATAGACAAAAACTTTGACGTTTATTACAAAAATATTTTCATGAGTCGAGCTAAAAAAAAGAATTAAAAACGTGAGCAAATTTGGAGACCAAGCCTAATCAAATAGTTATTGGTATAATATTGTCATAGAGTTCGATCGTGATGTCGTGACACTACGGGCTTTTGTGACACCGAAGGTCAGTCAGGGAAAATTTAGCAAAACAAACGACAATGTAAGGCGGTTAACACACTGCACCACGCCACGAGCTGCGTTTTTAAACTGAAGTACCTCAGTTTGTATGGAAAACACGCGCCGTAAACTTTGATTAAACAAAATTTTTAGAGTTAACAAAAACAATCGACAGTATAACTGCAGCGTCCTGAATGAGTTCTGTATTATTAACCAATATTGTCAAAGAAGGATCTCAGCTACATGTGCAATCACTACGGCGATCAACTACGAAGCGAGTACTTTGACTGGCGCGGGGTCGCTAGACCGCTGCCCCCGCGCAGATTAAACCGCGAGTTAACGCAGATCTGCGTCTCCGCTACCACGCGCCTGATTCCGCGACTCGCGCACCGTCTCGGGGCGCGGTGCAGTGTGTTAATCGCCTTAGGTAACTATGTCAAAAATTGGAAATATAACTATTTTTATATAATTAAGTGTTTTATTGAATGTCATTACATTTCAACACCATGATATTCAATTATTTTTTAACTGTCTCCGTGGCCGAAAGGTTACCATCCTGGACTGCCACGCAGAGGTCCCGGGTTCGATTCTCAGGCCGGGAGAAATATTTGTATGGCCTAAATTTATTTCTCTCGTGAGTTTGGGTGTAATTTGCGGTTGCCTGTGTGTGTGCCCATGACACCTGCGATTCAGGGTTTCCCTAGAGTGGGGCTATGTTGAGTGTATGCGTTATGTTAGGTTGATGGGTAAAGGTGCTGGTGAAATTGCAGGTATATAGGACTTGTCATTTAAATGTCTCAGGGTGACGGGGTCTTTGCAAATCAAAGCATTGAGTGGTATTGCAACTGTTATTGACAGGCGTCGTTTACCAACGCGCAACTTGTTCATCCCGTCATTTAAAATCATAAAACAAAATTGCCTATTTTTGTTACTTTTTTAAACAAACCATTATTATACATCCTATCGGCGATTACAATGATATCTGTAAACATAGTTTCATTTCAAATTTGTAGCCATTGCATAATACCTAAGTGAATTTGATATTACTTCGATTATTTTTATGAATTTCGAACGACAAACAAAAGCGCTGCTGCTACGAAATATGGAAGAAAGAAAAAAGCCTGTGCCCTTCAATGAGAAACTATGGTGTTTGATTTAACAAAAGAAATCCTAGAGTGATGTATACAACTCGCTATTAGATGTTATTGAAAAACTGGTTAATGTTTGTAAATACAAGAACAAATTGCACAAACCTGTTCCTGACGCAGAATTTTTGAAGATTTTAACTGCTCTGAAATTATTCCTATCAGCGAAAATAATACCTAATTTAAAGTAATGT